ACATTTGTCCAACACATTTTCTATTCAGAATGGTCTCATTTATGCAACTGTTTATCTGTAATTTCCGCCATTTCAACTCGGCGAACTCAGTACCTTCGTCTTGGAAAGCCAAATTCACATTTCCGATAACCCAAGTCGAAACTTCCACGTCAGTGGTTCACTCTGATATAACTTCTGTTTGCAGATCTTTTTTGGGGGGAGGGGGGACGATACTGGAAAGCAATACTCCACTACACATTTTCGAAATCGGTGCATACCTTAGTAGACCTTATATTTATTTACTATAAAGACTGCAACGACCCAACAGAACACGCACTGCAGTCAAATACATGTCTCAGAGTTCGTTAAAAAAAACACCATATACGAAGTTGGTACAACTGGTGATAGGAAATTACAAAGTACGAACGTGGGCACTACATTCATATCAGCGTCTGCGGAGTGAAGGTGAGGCGCGATGTCACAAGCCCATCTTTCCTTATCGCACATGGACAGCGAGCTATAAATATAGCATTTCTCTGAACAATTTCCTCTTCTAGCAATCGCAGTAATTTAAGCATGGTTAGTAATTAAACGCGTGTAAAGATTTTAGACTCCCACGGGGATGAAGATGTCGATGTTGGTCTTCTGGGCCGTAACGCCGTGTGGACTTGTAGGAAAATACCGTTTCGGCAGAATATACTGCCTCCATCTTCATGGCTTAAAAGTCCAGACGAACGACATCGACATGTGTGAGTAAAAACGAACTTAAGCCTAATCGGCAGGCCACGAGAGAGGTTTTGGGAAACTGTAAATAAATATCCACGTTCTCAAATTTAGCAATATATGATGATGGAAGGTCGATTTCAGTGTCTCGAATGTAAACAGAAGAATTAACGAGAGCGCGGTGGATTTACGATACCGCAGTGCTTTAATGTCGTCGCTTTCAGATCATGGTGATGACGCACAAACTGGTATTTACGAAAGGAAAATGCTCAATCTTGGAGGTCGATCCATGGAAAAACAAATTCTGCATCCCGTCCCCTATAATTACCAACTCTAACTACAAAATCTATTACATATGTGGTTCGTGTAATCGTCTATTTTCAGAATCCTTTATAACGCTGTAGAACGAAGTACAGCACACATTCCCGAAACATGCAAACGAGGGAACGCGAGCTTAATAACATCCCACACGATCCAAATGTAACTAAAACTCCAGGAGCAAAGCGGCCGAAGCCAGACGACAATCGATACGATTCCACAAGAGCCCCCACTGGTGGTGCTGGTGTTGCATCCGCCATTCCCATGGTTTTTCAGCATAAAGCTAGCCGTCCCGTCAGACCACCCACCCCACACCCCTACAGAACCCAAAACCCGCGAGTAATCCCACCCTCAACGCTTAACTACGTCCACACTCGTCCATCCCGCAGCCACAAATCATTTGACCTCCGTCGCAGAGAACGGCTTAGAACACGGGCGCCTTCTTCTGCTTTCGGAAGTTCCAATAATGCCGACGATAAAAGAGAGATTCCTGAGACAGGTTGATCAAGCGAGGTTGTTAACACAAGGAAACAAAAACACGCGAGAAAAGGCGAGGCATTTTTGAGCTGAACAAAAGGGTAAAGATGTAAGAACTGGACTTGCCACATTCAAATAATGAAAGGCTCGAGTGTCATTCAGCCAACAACGACGCACTACGTAGCAACTAAAACAAAGCTCTTCCACCATCCAAATTACAGGGTGTCCATAAATTAGCGGACAAATATAGGAGCGTGTAATTATTTATTTAAAACACACACACGAAAAAATCTATTTACTCTAAACAGTCGCAGAACATTCAAGTATTCACACGTGATCACGGAAGGTTATAAGTTTTTCGTGCGTGTTACAAATAATTACACGCCCTTTCAAATCAGATGCAACTCTGGAGCCACAATACAAACGCTTCACGGTGCTAATTATAATTGTTGATGCACTCGAAACAAAAAGTTATGAAAATAAGCTTATTAGCGTCTGTCTGTCCGTACGTAACAAGATACTTCTGAACAGATTTTCACGAAATTTGGTACCGGGGAGGCATACCGAAGTGTGTCGACATAATCCAATTTTGACTAAAATTGGACGACATCTACAATCACTTTACGTGAAATTTACAAGAGTTCCTTCGCACGGGACTAAGTGGAGAATCCCCAGCCAATCGCGTAATCACGAGGTGAATCCTCCGCGATGACGGTAATAGCAGCAGACCACCCTGCTGATACCAGGCAATTTCGATGTCACTGGCACCATTAAAACGCTTCAAAAGTAAAATTCTGGAGAAAGCTCCAGAACTGTTACGCTATGCACACATTCCATAACTTGTTTGAATTTCGGTTATCAGTACAGTGAGAACCATCCATAACTGAGACAGCAAAAGAACATATCTCGTATTTTCTTCCTCATAACACTATCTTATTAAAGCAAAGCAGAACTGGCCATCTAAGAGACCCAGGTGTTGATGGGAGGATAATATTAAAAAGTTCTTAAAAATAATATAAGAGGATGTGAAGTGGATTCAAGTGGCTCAGTACAAGTTCCAGCAGAGAGTTCTTCTGAAAATGGCACTAAAACTTTGGGTTCCATAAAATGTTGGGATTTTCTTGACAAACCTAGAAACTATCAGTTTCTCAAGAATTACACTCCATGGAGTTTATCTGTTGTTCATTAAAATAATTCACCAGTCATTGTCACTATTTCAAAGTCATATCTTACTTCAGAAATTCTGTCACATCGCGAGTACGTTAATTGTGGCAGATAATCAATTTCAATAATGAGGGTAAGGCAATTTTATAAATCCATATCTCAAAGACTGCAAATCATAAAGAAACACTGTTTGATCTTATCTGCTTGAGAATACAGTGCACACAGTATACTGAAAATCCCAAAGAAAAAAGGCGTTGTATGCAGATTGTTCTCTCAAGGACGCGCAATTTTCCATCCAAACAACTCAGGACAGCAACTGCTTTCTAAATACGGAAACGGTTTTCTGAAGAGCTTTATTCTGATATGCCCTCTCACAGCATTGCACGTACACATAATATCAATGTGAAACAAATACTGTGCATTTATTTACATCATTTGGGTGTCACGTCTCAATGGGTAAAACAATTTGTTTTCTGTACAGCACAGAGTTTTGCTTGCTGGATTTCAAAGACCTTGGTGTTGTTCTCTTCAGAAGTATTTACCAACAAATAATGATAAAGTAAATTTAACTCTGAACATCCGCAGTTACATTAATTCTATCTGTACTCACAATGAATGTTAAATGTATCTAAGCAGCTACAAATCTTATTAATCCACTACCAGATGGATATGAGAGGTATTTTTAGAAGACACAGCATGAAATCAACCACTGCTGATACAGATCCAAAAAGGTTAACCCTCACAAGACTCACTAAAAATATTCATAAGTGAAATACGTACGAAGCTGCTGCTGCCTAACCTAACCTAACGAACGCATCTGCAGGTATAGAGATTAATTAACAAAAGAAACATATTTACACAAAGTAAAAACAGTTGTAATATCTGATAACGTATTCATCCGCTACATCATACTCACACTCCTTGATTCAAAGATGCAGTGTCTGGCATCGTTTGTATCCTTTGACGAATGTGAAAACAAAACGTACAACAGGAAGTTATCACTTTCACTGATTTAGTAAGTCTGACATTCACATTCCCACCTCCCAATGAAAGTTACGTTTATTCATACGATACCGTGCGGAAGGATAACGCAGTTGTGCTTGCCAAAAACCGTGGCGATAGTTTTGCTGGAAGCCAACGATTCACGCAAAGAAAAAATATTGATTCTGTTTCACTTAAGATTTATGATATGCCTTATAAATAAAACTTGTGTGGTTGTCACTACAGCTTTTTAAAATAAAAGTTTTGTTCACGAGCTTGCTGTAACAATCAACCCAAACATCAAACGCTTGTAGTGGGCATATGCTTAATACTGGCAAACATAAGCACATGCCATCAATAATAAATGCATGATTGATTTGTTACAACTTAAATAGTATTTGTTTGCTGAAAGTTAAAGTTTACATTCCTTCGATTCATGCTCTGTACAGACAACATTTTGGTTAACATATCTACAGCAGGGGTGGGAAAATTACAGAAATTGAGATTTTACTGATCTGCTCACAAAGGAGATTCTTCTAATTCTAATGCACATGTATGTGTGAGATACAATGTAAATTATTATTCTTCTTAAAGTGCCCATCCGTTCCGGATGTTGGCGATCAGCATAGCGATTTGAGTTCTGCCATGCTTGATTGTACTAGGGAATTATAATGGAGTGGTTTCCCGCTGCCTTCTCCATCACAGTATCACAACCAGTACAATCAGTATGTGATTGTCGCCTGTGAATATCTGGTGACGGGCCTTTAGGGAAGTCATTCTTCAATGGCCTCGCCCCAGTAATGACATAGCTGCTGCCCTATGCCATCTACCGTGACCCTGGTAGAGGGACCCTTGCAGGTTGCTACCCCTCGGGTCAAGGGGAACCCGGAGTTCGCGTAGGCAGGGGCACTCACTTCCCTGAAGTAGGACTATCTCAGAAGAGAGTTCCTACCCGCTATGATGTAAATTAAATGTTAAAAACATTTTGTTTTCAATTATATCTAAACAGTTGTTGTTATAATTATTATTATTTTTACATTTTTGAAGAATGTGCACAGAAACAAATGGGGTTCAAAACCTCTGCAGCTATCACATAAACACACCTCTCTTGTAAAATTTCAAAACCAAGTTTATCACAAAAACCATTTGTAAACCACACACCGAAGAAGTAAAAGATGGCATAAAATCCTTACAATAAATGGTAAATATGTTTTTTCTAAGATACACAAAAAATTTCCCATGACTAATTATAATTACACATTACCTAAATATAATGTGCAAGATAAGAATCATTAACATTCTAAAATTAATAATTCTTAATGCATTAAGTGCTAATAAATTGTACTCAGTGTACTCACTTTGATGTTTGTCAGCCAACATAATAAGTGTGTTTGGCAAGTCCCGCCGCCTGAAGAAACACATGACTTTTGCTTCCACATTGCCATTTGGTGTCTGAAAATACAGAAACATCCAATACTATTATCAAAATCTAAGACGCAAAAGTAATCTATTCAGAAAGAGAATAACATGACTACTAAGACAGTTTAAAAAAGGTAACAAAACTGCAAGATGAATATAAAAATATACAGTGGAACCTCAATATACCGCGCCTCGTTTACTGCGGACGCGGATATACCATGGCTGTGATCATGTTCCCCAATATGATTACATATTTCACATATATCATGGGTACTGAAGCTGTCCCCCGAAACCCGTGTTATAACGAGGTTCCACTGTATATACTCTCAAAAACATCTGAAACTCATCTATTCACCATGCTTAGAGCAGTCAAAATGCGTATTAGTGCAACACAAGTCCTCCTTCACACATTATACAGAGCACTCAAATTAATGTACATCATTTGATGGAATTTGAAATATATATTATGCTACTGGAGGCTCGTGCAAACTCAAAAATTTCAAATTATTACAATCGACAATATTCACAAATATACCAACGTGGCAGACGTACAAACATGCAGGATGGAAGCAAGACTAACGTCACTTAATACAGAGTCCTGAAATTATGTATAAAGTGAAAAGTGTGCTAATTTTCCTAACATAATTCTTTGTAGTGTACATTCAATAATTAGTTCAAGGCAAAAATCTCACTGCACTGCTGTGTTCCTAGTGGTTGCATCAAACTCCTTCAGTTCTATACTGCGAAGATAAAATGGCAAGTTGAAGAACATTTAGGGAGTAAAGCAAAATGGTGGCGGCACGAAATATATTTTCAGCTTTCCAAATCTTTGCCTTTCTCTGAACAATAATTTTCCAATACACAAATGACAGAACTGGTGGAAAAAGAAAATGTTTAAAACATATGTTCATGCATTTGGTAAAAACTGTGCTCATTTCATTTTTTTAATAAGGTAGGCAGGTAGGTAAAAGTCAACAAATAAATCTTACATTGCAAAATATGCTCATGTTTTTACATTGCCTACAACCTACTGCTACGTTTATGCTGACAACAGTGATAACAACGCCTCTAAAGTACATGTACGATTTGTTCTCAACTAGGGGCAACCACAATTAATAATTTGTAAAGTACAAGTGTGTGTTGTGGTGCAGATGATTCTTTTCCAGTCTTGTTTAACCCCACAGCCTGCGAGTCAATAAGAAACAGTGAATATGCCTTCAGGTCTCAAAAAAGTTGAGAACTACTGCTGCTCTACATATTATTAAAAATATTTATTTTTTATTATTTTTACAATTTGTTTCATATTTCAGCTGCCTTTGACAAAATCATAAGCAAATTACTGTCTTGATTGACTTCATTCTTTATGTATTTTTTTTAGTCTGTTTGCATGGATGTTCTCATAGAGGTCAAAACAGTCCACCACCTGACAATGGTCTAATTAATCAGAACATGCAGCAAAACTGAGTTCATCGCAATTAGATAATAAATACTACACTAATGAACAACAATCAAACTTTTCGACGATTCAAATCTGTTGGAGAAATACAAAAATATCTCAAATTTCACAGTAGAGCTACAAACAAAAAAGGGAAGAAAATGGTCACTGTAGAGTACGTATTCTACTCAAGATTACTATCTACTTGGACCATTCAAGGACAACATTACAGAGACCACACGTTTTAAGGTAATGATAAAGCCAAGGCTAATAGCAGTTGTACAGGCTGAGGCACTCATGCATTAAATTAAAAAGTGTATCCAAGTTGCAGAATATCATGATGATGTAAATTCTTTTACAAACAAAAACAATTGTAAACCTTGTAAAAATTACATTCAAATCAGTAAAATATGTTAAATGTTAAAAAAACACATCTCTTGCAGTGAGAAAATCCTTCTCACGAAGCATACACTTATTCAACTACGTAAAAAATTCACCACTTTTTATGCAACCCTAAGAGTCATTGCTGTGTTCACAAGAGCCTGCCGATGATCCGTCTTATAACAGGCAAATACAGCTACGATATTATGTTCTCATCTACACCTAGATCTCCAAGTGGTTTCTTCTGCATTCAAGCCAAGAAACCAGAAAAATGAAGTGTTTTCTGGGCATTGGCAGAGTACAGAGAAGGCACTGTGTGTTCTGAATTTTTGCTTATCTCCTTTTTCATTCATAGATGCCACCTATTTATTTAAGTATCAGGCTGGGTAAATCCTACAAATATTAACATACATGAAATGATCTCTCGCAAACAGAACTTGTTAATTAATAGTGCTAAAATCAACATCAAGTGGCTGTCAAAATCTTGAATTAAGCACATTTGGTTAGTTAAAACTACCTACATTAGCCCAATGCCCCTTTTAGAAAGCATTTCAAAATTATGTTAAAATAAGCAAAGTTAATGCATATCATCAGCCAGTGGTGACCTTAGTTTTAAAGATTAATGCATATTTCAATTCTCTATCTGCCACTTGTAAACATGTAACCTGTCCCAAAAGGGTTTAAAGTTCACGGAAGGTGAAATAACTTGAATTTTTTTCAAAATAAACCAGTGTGAAATAAATTTCAGATGTATTTATGACTATACCCACATAGAATTTCACATGCCCAGCTACAAGATTTCGTAACCCTTAGCCACCACAGTAAAAGGTCTAGATTTGTCTCAGAAAGCTTTCTGGTCAATGGAAGTCTGTAACTGCTAACATATAAGAACTGTTACAATCAAAACCTTCACTAGATCAATTGCCATTAATAAGGTATTTTTATTTATGCTTTATTTAATGACACAGTCAACAGCTAAACTAAGTAGTAAAGATTGCTCTCTTCTGGGTTGCTGTGCCATGTTGTCTGATAATGTCCCAGAAGACAGGATTCTTCAGACTCACCTCTGTGAAAACCTCAAATCCTACAAACTAAGTAATGTTGAATGATAGGATGAATTGGAAAGGATGTGGAAGGAAGCAGTTGTGTTCTAAAGAAGGCACTCTCCCAGAACTTGCCTGGGGGAACTGCGGAAACGGCGACAAACCTGTCATGAAGCCAGTTTCTGGGCTGAGATTTAAACATGTGACCTTAATACAGAACAGGAGTGCTAACCACTAAGCCACAACATTTGGATTAGGTGGGTAAAAAACATTCACACACAGTTATACTATAACCAAATCTTTTCTTATATATAAAGAAGGGCAAGTACGCTAACAGTAAAAATACATATCACATCCAAATTCTGACTGGGTAAATATGGACTAGCACAGAGCCAACTAAAAGTGTAAATGAATAGTCTGTGTTAAACTGTTCTTTTGGATTATGTCCATTTTCTAGGTGTTATTAAATCCACAGCATTTTTGAAGCTGGTTCTACTTTGGTTGTCAGGTGAAAAGGAGAACTCAGTCGAGCCAGTCTCAAACCTGGACGACAACGTTAAAATGTCACATATAAAATCTGTGGACAACAATATCTGCAAAAGATAACTCATAATGCTGGCCCCAGTATAAATCTTTCTACTAACCAAACCCATCTAAGATAGATAAGACCTCCACTTCTAAGTCACCAACTATAAAGTTTTGAGAATATAAAATTTAAAATTGGGTAAAACTGTAAATAATATACACATCTAAAAAAGGCTGCATTGATATAAAACCAGCTGGAACTAATCTATCTGTTCAGCTGAGTTTATATTCACACAGTTTATTTTTAATGTGTATATTATTTCCAGGTTTACACAGTTTAATATGGTATACAGTCAAAAAATTATAACTGGCAACTTGAAAACATTAACCCTCTCTCTCACAGTCGAATTTGGGTTGCAAAATAATTCATACCTGGGCCAGTGCAGGAATTATGAGTTATCTCCCACGGATGATTGTCATGCAAACTTCCCTGGCATTTTAACCTTGACCAAAAGGCCCAAGATATTAGAATTTGTCCTCTTTTTCACCTGATGACTAAAACAGAACCAACTTAATAAAAAGGCCAAAAGTACAATTCAACACAATATATAGCGCCATCCTCAGAAACCTTCAAGCTTCAATAAATAATCAGATATAAATCATTATAACACATCTTAGATTTATAAAATATGCACCAACCAAAATCAAGATCTAGTACGACACACGGAATTTATAAAACAAAACATTTCACCTTATTTAATTCTTCTATCCTTCTTATCTGGTATGGTGATGTGGAAGAAGTTTCAAAGTAAACATAATCTGAAATGACAATACAAGAATGGTTATTAAAACCTCTATTCATAAAATGTACTTACACAATTAAAAATAGCATCTGTAAATAAAACCAAAAATGCTGTGAAAATGAATTTCACAAATCAGCTACCACATATCTTGATAATAAAGTATATATAAATGCAAATATAAGGCATATATATAAATAAGGAAAGGTACATAAGACTTGAGAAACTCTCGTGGTGGCTGTATGCAAAGAAGTCTTCTTGGGCAATCGGCTGTGTGCAGAGTTGTGACCCGGTGTCTCCGAAACATTGGATCACAACTCCAATCACACATGGCTGATCATCTGCCTCCTTGCAAGGAAGGGAATAAATGTAAGAACCTGGTAGAAAATAAATAAAAATAAAACTTAGTATTTGAATGTGGCACTGAACTAACTCAAGGCATCTTAATACAACAATAGCTAATAAATTGCCAATTAAATTAATATGAGAAACATTACACATGTGGGAACAGTAATATGAATAAAGATGTTCTGGCAAGAGCCTACGTTGGCCGGATTCATTTTACATTCATTCATTTTCAGACACCAGTATATATCACAAAGCAACAATAAGA